CAGTACACTGGTATTCTTTGTATTTTAGTAGTTGTGAGCAGCAGTCCGTAATTAACGCTTATTTGCGCCGAGTATCGATAATTTGACATAGCCTTATGGGAATCAAGAGCCTGTAGTCAACGTCCGGTCCGCCCTCCCTAAACCTCTCACAAGATTGGCTGATTCTCATCTTCAAGGTTGGCCAATTGGCCAATCAGAGAGAAGCTAGTGTTTGATCTGCTTTTATGCAGATATGAGTGTAAAACGTAGCTTTTGGGATTATAAAGAGCTGCCATTTATATCAAGGGTGCGCATTGACTGACGTGTAACTAACGTTTTTTCTTTTATCTATTTAAATGTATTGGGTAAATAAAGCGTCATTTCAGCTGTTAGTCGACTTTATCTCGTGGAATAGCATGTCTTATAAAAAGAGTGTGTAAAATTTTATGTCATTGATTTTATGTGCTCATTCAGTGGGTGACTGACACTCCATTTTTTTGTGTTAATAAATTTTAATGGTGTCATGATTGTACCTTATTTTATAATTTCCTACAAAAATTAACCAGCGACAATTTAAAAAGAGAACTGCTATTTATTTTCTTCGTATACTTCGTCGTCACTAGCGAAAATATTGTATAAAATCTCTTTCAGTGGCTATAGATACCTTTAAAGATTTTAAATTCATAAATAAAAATCATTTTAATTTATTGTTTGTTTTGAATTTCGCGCAAAGCTACACGAAGGCTATCTGCGCTAGCCGTCCCTAGAGGGAAGGCAGCTAGTCATCACCACCCACCGCCAAATCTTGGGCTACTCTTTTACCAACGAATAGTGGAATTTACTGTCACATCATAACGCCCCCAAGGCTGAAAGGGCGAGCATATTTGGTGTGACGGGGATTCGAACCCGCGACCCGCAGATTACACGAGTCGAGCGCACTAACAACCTGGCCATGCCGGACCCTTTTAATTTATTGTTTGAATAACCGTTTCAGATCACTCGTTTTTTTAACATCCTCTGATCTGTCAAAATATTGTTTTTAATTATAATAATTGCTGTCAGATATCAGTTGTGACTAATAACATCTTTCTGGCATGTTTACGCAATTTGTTTAGATACTTTATTGTCAAGTTGTCTGTTTTGCTTGCTTGAAATATATAACCATTTCCTTCTCGAAAACCCGTTAGTCGCGCGAGCAACACACGTGTTATTCAGTAAACGCCACGAGCACTGCTTGCGTCGAGCACGCGCCCGCAAAGCAAAAACTAATTCAAAAGGTAACTAGTTAGGAAAACGAGAAACTAAAACCTCGTGCGTTTTCCTGCAGGTTGACACGTGTTTGTAGGTATGCGTGGATTCACTTTTATTGGAGAAAAAAAACTCCATGTTCTCAAGAGTGCTATCCCATCTTCTGTTTTCCCATAAAAATTGCTAACTATTCTTGGCTTCTTTCTCATTCTTAGTTAGAGAAGCTTTGAGGTGCTTTTAAAATTTCGATGTTCACATGATTTTCGTTGATAAATTTACATTACTTTTATGTTTAGGAGACTGTTATAAGTACTTTCGACTAGCTCAGGAGTGTTTAGTTCCTGCTTGTGAAAAGTCGTACCAGTCCTTTTTTAACATATTATACTTTTTTCTTATGGTCATAATAACCTACGTTTTATTACACACCCTTCAGAATATTCAAGTCAATTTTTTACACTTAAAATAGGCTTTCAACAAAATCGTTTACAGATTTTAGATTTTTTTTAACCACCAAATAGGTAATTTTTACAGTTTGTTAATTTCCTGTAAATGTCTTGTCAGCCAAGTTCTCTGTAATACATATTAAACAATCTTTCTCAGAAATAAAATCTGTGTAAACGTTTATATTCTTATAAGTTATAATATTTCTTACAAACGTGAGATACTCTACCTTGAAAAATACCTGTACAGCTCAGATTTGTTTTGTTTTCAAATTCAAATTAAGAATATAGCAGCCATTAGATATACATTTGATAGGTTTTTCTTAAAATATTTTAGTTTAGCGATTTTGTATCTGTTGAGTGATGCTAGTAGGTTTTGTTTTTGTGAAACATAAATTATCTTTTCCTCAGACTGGTTATATTCTTGTATATTTGGTCAGTTTAAATTTTTATATCCATTAAATAAGTGTTTAAAGTTCATTCAGTGTATCAGTTGCATAGTTATGTGTATATTATATTAATGTGTACAAGTTCTTATTAGATGTGGAAGAAATGTTCTTTTTTTTCATTGTCAGAGGTACAGGCATGTTGTGTGGTGTAACTAAAATCTCTCAACTGATTACTGAAATACTTGTACTTATTTCAGGCATGTTGTGTAGTA